GTCGAGCCGACAACACCTGTAAGTGATACTTCAGAATAAAAAAGAAATGGTTTCAGAGCTGGGAGAGTTCTAGCAGCATCTGTTCCAACATCTCATTTTATAGGTGAGGAAATTAAGTCCCAGAGAGTTTAAGCCAACTTTCAAGGTCTTATAGCCACCGCAGCGGCTGAGCTGGCTTGTGGGAAGAAGCAATTGTTGAGCGGTGCAGGTCGCTATGTTCTCATCCCCGGGCTGGGCTGGCTGCAGAGACTACAGCTGCTCACCGTCAGGGCACTCACCAGGGACAGGAGGGCAGGGTGCCATGGGCCACAGAGAAAGGGCGCCTCACCTCCTGGGCTTAGTTCTCAGAGGAGTCACACTTGCCCGGTGCTGGAGTGGGAGGTTAGAAGAGAGTGACGGGCTCCAGGGAGAGAGACCAAGCAGGAGCCAGGCTGAGAGTGGCCGAGGGCAGGGTACTGGTCCCTGTGGGGCTGAAGATCCATGCGGCTGGGCAGGGGGGTAGGGGTCACTTCAAACAGAGCCTATTTTCACCACAGGTGCTCTTTTTTTTACAACAGCAAACCAAGCTGGGAAAGCCAGTGGTGGTGAACAATATCTTGAGAATACCTACCTAAAGCAGCCTAGCCTTAGTCTAATGTGAGTCTTCAGAAGCCTAAGCAAAGACTAATTTTTAAAGGAATGCCATGTCCAAATTGCTAATGTAGAGCAATTTTTAGTATTTTGACAATTAAACACTTCAGAGAAATAAAACAAGCCACGCTGGTCCACCAGCTTCAAAAGGACAAATACTGATGATGGGTCATACATGACAATGTGAACTTTGTAACCATTTCATTTCTCATTACGAGCTTAAAAATGGTAGTAAAGGGGATTCCCTAGTGGCCCAGTGGTGAGGACTCTGCTTTCACTGCCAAGGGTACAGGTTCGATCCCTGGTTGGGGAACTAAAATCCTGCAAGCCACACAGCGTGGCCCAAAATTTAAATTAATTAATTAATTATAAATAAATTAATTAATTAAATACATGAAAAGAAATGGTAGTAAAATTTCAGTCGCTACCTGACCCCCATCTGTTTTGCATACGGGACAGGCTTGAAATTTCCCTTTTTTGAACTGATAGGAGCATGCACTATCCACTAAATTGAGGAAAAAGAAAAAAAAAAAAAAGGTGCCAAATTAGAAGAATAGGTTAAAAAGAGCAAAATAGCCACTGGGAAATACATTAAAAGTACAAAGTTTATTTTTAAAAGAGAATAATGAGTTGAGCTACCTGTTTACACGCATGGAGGCAACGGAAAATTTAAATCAAACTGCAGAGAGCCAGCAAAAATGAGAGGCCAGAGCTTAAAGATTCTGCTCAGATTCTAGAATTGCAGGATCCAGCGCATTGTGGGACAGAAGGCTTTGATAGGCAATACAGTCTAATAAGATATTCAGGGATTAAGTCAGTGCTTCACAGACAGATGTGTCCATGTGCCAGTTGTTGCTAAGCTTTAATTTTTCCCCCTGTAATGTTTAATTTATCACACTGGTGCTTTCTAAACTAGAACACCTGTAAACCAGGTTAAGAATGACCTCCTTCCAATTTTACATCCGTGAACAGTGCCCCTTCTTCGTGCTCTAATTGTAGATACCTTAAAGATAAATCTGTGGAATGAAGGAAAAAGAAGGCTTGGCTGACACTGAAATGTGTTCATCTTGGGTGAATGCAAATTTCCTCTCTGCCTGGCTCTGGGTGTACACACTGACTCATGATGCTCAAGTCATATTCAAGCCCCCTGCCCCATCCCAAGTCAAACACAATTAAACAAACTTCTGCTAAATATTTAACAGCCTCGTGTAGTAATTAGCAGCAAATAATGGGAGCTTAAATTGATAATTGCTCAGAACTGTCCTCTTGCAAACATTACACATTTCCTGCTCCTCCCTTTTCTCTTAGACTTTGAATCCCAGAAGGTTTTTTGTAAAGGATTTAGTTAGTGAAATTACCCATCGTCACATTACTTGGCCCAAGATCTTGCAGTCAAGTTAGGTTGTCTGACCATCAGCAGCAAGATTCCGCCTGCATGACTTACTTCACGTCTGTTTTTGAAATCCATTGAAAGTTATGTACCTGAAAGCTGTTGGAACAGGGCATTGATGTAAAAACTGACTGGCAGGGTGAGGATTTAAACTCTGTCCGCCAGACTCAAAAGGTCATCTGATTAGAATGGGAGAAGCACAAGGCATAGTAATTTATATTCAAAGGGTAACCTTTCTAGGGAGGGGGAGGAAGCACGAACTCTTGCTGCTTTTCCACTTGATATGGACAAGGATTCCCTTCAACCAATTCCCAATAATTATGAAGAATAGTTTATTGAACTTGGGCAAAGAGCAAAAGAAATGCCACTTCCTTGTAGTGTATTAGTTCTTTTAGTAAAAACACTGCCACACTCTCTAGGAGGTAAACTCACAGTAAGAGTAAGTCAGCATGTTATAAATCATGAAGAATAACAGAAAACAACCTTTCCCCATCATAGGCAACCGAATGCTTGTCTACTAGGGCATTTGCTTTAGTAAATATACATACAAAGAATAGAACTGTGAAAAGACGATGTGTTGGTTTCCAAAATTTCCATAATGAAACTGCAGAAGGATGAGTGTGTGTGTGCACATGTGCATGTGTGTACACTCGTGCCTATGCTGGATGTTGGCATGAGTGTGTGCTGTGGAGCCGGGAGAGAGGTACATTCCTGCATGGGTTCTACAGGTAAAATCCCTGGTGTTTGCCTTTGATCTTTGGGTCCCCCAGGGCTCATATTCCTGCATGGAGAATGCAATTAGAAGGAGCCCCAAGTAGGCCTTGCTTTAAATTCTAAGAAAGTCCTTTTAAAATGCGAATATTTCACAAGCCCAATTCCATTTGGGTGTCTCTCACTTTCAATTAAAAAAAAAAATAATCCTGGTTTGGAGAGAAGAGAAATAATTCTGTACTTAAGTTTGGTGCTTTTTTCCTGGCTTGCTCTCTTTCCTTTCCCTCCCCCTTGCATGTTTTGTGTCCTGCAGAAAGCTTCAAGCCCATTTCTTTAATAATGTCCTGCCTCGCGTCCCCTGAAATCACCCGTCTGTTAGCCAGTGCACACAGGAAGGAAGAGAGGGAATCAGGAATGCCAAGTGCATCCCTTATTCTACATGGAACCTTGTTGGGTCTTAACATACACTTGGATTCCCTCTTGTGCCTCATCTCTTCTTGTCCCAGAAGCTTTCAGGTCTTAAAATGGCAGAGCTGCCCACCACTCTGGCCAAGAAGAGCCTTTATTCGCTTCATAAACCCACACGTTAAACTCCCGTTCTCTTCCCATTTCCTGGGCATCTTTTCTGACGCTGCTTCTCGGTCTCTGTGGAACAGTCTCCTCACCCCTCATGGTGCACTGAGCTTCTAGAAAGACAGCCCTTGAGTTCCCCACCCCGACAAAGCTGTAGCTATGGTGACAGTAATCTATAACCCTCACATCCTTAGATAATTTGCTGCTCCAAGTTAATTTTAATTCATTACAATAAAGCAATATAATTAAAAAAATAACTCCTTAAAGTGAAGTATTTAACATGATCCTGGAAAGGAAGACGGCTTCTGCTAACAGAGGCCCAGGCAGCAGGCATGGTGTACGCTCGCTCTCTCGTGCAAATTCAAAGGTGAGCTGTAAACAAGCCCACGCACCAACGCCGCTGCCGGGCAGAAAGGACTGGGCGGCAGGAGGCCTCTTTCTAATCAGTCCTCAAAGGAACCTGCCACACAGAAGTGGCACTTATTCTAATTTAAAGCCCTCATGCTTGCTTCAGTGTTGCAAAATTTATAAAAGAATAACTTCATTAAACCGCCTGGCACTTCAAACACAAATGCAAACCAGCCACAACACAGAAGGAGCTGGCCAAGAGGAAGAGAAATATTCCCAGAGTTGTTAACTCAGATATTCAAATCCAGTCTGCATTTGGGCGCTTCTCCTTCTGAGGATGGGTTTGCCCTGGAACTTTCCTCCACCAAGGATTTCTGTGCCATGGTCCTTTACTTCTATCCTGAGGGCCAGCTGCCCCTGTTAAGTCTGCTTAATAACACTTAAAATCATCCAAAGTGGTTCGGCAAGGCACGCCCCTTGCAGAAATACATCTGGCAGTACCTAAATGAATGCTATTCAGTGCTCCTTTCCTGGTCTGCAGAAAAGGTTGATTCTGAACGTGCCACGATTACAGTCCCCATTTACTTGGGTATATATTTCAGACTCACCTAAGTTGTTGAAAAACTAATGCAAAAACATTTTTTTCTCCTTACCCTCGGTCCTCCAGAAAGCCAGCAATAATAAGGGTTAAGTGGAAACATTCTGCTGAATTCATGCACGGCAGTGGAGAAAAGTGATTGTCACATCCTAAAACACACACTTTTAATAAAAAGAAAATTCTTTTTCTCCCCTGAACCAAAGAGATGCTACAATAAAAGAACTTCAGGCTAGATTCCTAAGCTACAATGCAGTTTGTGTCAGAACACACATCATTTCATGCTGAACTGTCAGCATTTCTCCAAATCTTTTTTTTTTTTTTTTTGGATGCAATGAGAAGACAAACCTAGAAACCTGTATAAAACCTCCAAGCCCCTGTGCAAGTATGCATCACACACAAATTGGTCTATGCATTGAGAGCCTGGGGTCCCAATGATGAAGAACTCCTTTCCTGTTCAGTGTTTCTCATCACCCAGGTCCAAACGTGTGCTAAGATTTTGCTTCAAAGAGAAGAGAGTAGGCAATCACAAAGCTTGCAAATGGTAATCCATGGATGGATAAGAGGTAATGACCTTAGGGTGAAATCTCTTAAGGCGGATTTCTCCAAGGCGAATACCAGAAGACTGTTTATCCCAGCTGTCCTTCAGAACTGAGGAGGCGTTCTTGCTTTTGGTAAGAAGAGAGACCTATTATAGGATATTCATGCCGGGCTGACTGGAGGACAGACTGACACAGTAGATGTGAACGTTAAAGTTATCACCACAAAAATGCAGCATGATGTGTTTTGTATTATTCCTATTCCTAGGATAAACAAATACTGAAATTAACTCTCCATCATCTTTATAAATTTGTTTTACAGTGCTGAAGGCTCTTTTACATTCACATCATGCGATATGTTGGAGAAGGTAAGCTTGTATTATTTTTCCACTCCATGAATAAAACAGGGCTAATCAGATGGAATGAATGAGCTAATTCAATTACAGGCAGCCTTTATTATACACTAAAATATGGATTATTGATCTTGTGGAGTTGGCAATGCAGGATGCAAATTCAGTGAGCAAAACCTGCACATTTGAGTTTGGCTGTTTTTAACTCATGCTCAAGTCTGCTGGAACTGTTCTCGCTTTGGACAAAATCACCAAAAGAAAACAACCCTAACTACTTAAACCCAGGGCTTCACAAGGGACCAGATGAAAGGTTAAGTCAGAGGGCTGGCCTGGGAGCCTGAGCAGGTCCCGGAGTGGGAGTGCGGACGTAAGCTCTGTCATAGTCCGGAGGGAGGAGACGTGGGCCGGCTCTTTGGGCCCGTCTGTGCAGTGGTAAGCGAAAACTTATTTGGGAGACTGAAATGTACTTCACAGGCATCTTGCTGCAGATGCAATCAAGTCGTGTAGGAAGCAAGAACGCCTTGTGGCGGCCCTGCACTTGTGAGACGGGCTTGTTTGCAATGCAACGCTGCACCGTCCTAGCAAACTCCTTTTGTCTTTCATCTTTGAAAAAAAAAAAAATGCAGTAGCCAACCCTCGTTCGAAAGAAGGCAGCTCTGAATATGAGGTCACGTGGGAGGAAAGCCTACGGCAGCAAACGCTAAAGGGAAAAAAGAAGGTGAGCTCTGATATCAATGTCTATTGATACACCTCTGTTGTGCCTTCCCATTTCCCTTATAAACCTGCCCTGAGACTCTATGGCCTGCTGGGTGCTATTTGTACTCCGCTCCGGAGCACAGAGCAGACTGGCTCCTGGATTCCTTGTAAACTTCTCCCAGCTTCTCCTTCCCAGCGCCAACGCTCCTTCTTTTGACGGGGTTCACATCCTCTCTACCTCTTTATGGGCCACAGCTGAGTGCCCCCCACATGGCAACACAGATGAAAATATGCTCTTTTCTCCTCTGTTTTTAAAAACAGCCCAGAAACGGGTTCTGTGTTTTGGTAGGCATCCCTCCAAAGCATAGGTAAGTGTACATGTGGCCTGTTTTCGAAAAAGCTTCCAATGAAAGGGAGGAAGGAGGGATGCCTAACAATACTGCACGAAGTTGCAGACTGTTCGGCTACAGTCCAGAAAATGAATCCACTTTTTCATTCTGTCATTATAAATATTTCATTGCAAATGGTACTGATTTTCTGCAACTGTGGTTAAGCAAAGGGCCTCTGCGTGGATATTTAAGAAAAGAGAAAAGGAGGAAGACAACGAGGAAGAAGGGAGGGGGAATGAAAGGTTAGCAACCAATTAATTTCTTACTTTCAATGTAAAAGATTCTGGGAGCAATTCAACAGTGATGTAGTGTGTGACTCAAAGAAGAAGAGAAAAACCATTTACTCTGCTCTTCGTCTGACAGTGTCTCATAAAATATCAGCAGTCCGGCTACCTTAGTACTCCAGGCTCCTCGGGAGAGCAGAAAATGGTGCTTTAAAGCTCTCTTCAGTGCCGGTCTGCGGGAGATTGCCTTCCCCAGGACTCCCGCTGATGGAGGCCTAGGGGAAGAGGCCCAGGAGTTATTCAATCAGCCCGAGACTCTGGGGCGGCTGGGGGTCCTTTGAGGGCTGATTAGAAAGCTGCCCTCCTGTTGCCTGCCTCGGAACAGAACGAAATGAGCAGCCTCTTGCTGAGCAGATTCTGCAAGAAGGAATTTCACCTGTCACGGAGTTTGTCAGAATTTCAGGATTTATCTTGGTGCAAAATTAATAAAATACCAACCAGGATTTCAGGCTGACTACTCAGCTTTGTCATCTCCAAGTGATCTTTCACCCAAGAAAACCTGGACATTGAGTACAGCCATCCCTGCCCTACTTTTCCTTTGGAGGGTGAGCGAGATGACGGGACAGATACCAGCCAGACGTCAGGATGAGATTCTGAACCAATTACACACAAGGCTGAATTACAGTGTGGGTGCTACCATCTTAGTGGGTGACCTCTCACCTCACCACTGGAGCTCTGAAGGCTCTTTGGAATAAGCCCGAGTCTGACATAGAAAAAGGCCATGTCTGCAGTTTATAACACAGTAGTTTCCCTATGGCATCACATCTGTTAAATTCATATACTGGTGTCCCAGGCCTGGATTTGATTTATCTTATTCAAGGAGGACTAACAATGGACTCTGTTAAGAGCACATATTGTGAAACATTACACATTAATCTTGCTTCAGCCATGCTCGAGGAGGTGCAGGGTCATCTTTTGTTTGAACCCACACTGTCCTCCTGCCCCATCACCCTCTGGGCTCCCAGCAGAGTGGGGAGTGGGAAGAAGCGGGGAGGGGAGAAGGGAGGCAGGGGCACGAGGGGCTGGGACAGGGTGGGAACAAACCACTGCTGGCTCCAGGCCGCAGCGAGTTTGGGAGTTCGGCAACCTCTGCTCATTCCGCTTTAGAAGGTGGCTCACACCACACAGATGACCACGGCTATTTTAGGTGGCGTTCTGTAAAGCCCAGGGCTTGATCATTTTGAGCAGAGGCTTTAGGTAGCCCTGAGGCAACCAGCTCTGGTTCCCAGAGTGGGTAGCATCACATCACAGAGGGGCCAGTCTGTGGGGACTGGGTTGGTGCTCACGCCACCAGCTGGTCCAAGCCCCTGGATAGAGGGGGCAAACATTTCTCAGATTCGACTCCGGACTCTGAACTCTGGTTCAGAACAAGATTAACCTGAGTCATAATGTCCACCTTGTGTTGCATCCCTGGCCTCTCACCACGGACCACAGGTGCCTCGTACGAATCGGTGATCGGCAGGGCATCCTTGGCTCCCAGAGTCTGCGATTGGTTTAAGGCCATTGCTGCTTCCCTGCCCATTTTCTAAATGAGACGTTTAACAACACTGTACCGCGTTCCTTCCAGCTCTTCCCCTAGTTAAACGACAAGCCCGTTTTGGAGAGCCACTTTTACAAAGCAGTTAGTCGCCTGACAATATCAATACCAGGAGATCTCAGGAAAGAGTGAGTAACAGAGAGAGAGAGAGAGAGAGAGAGAGAGAGAGAGAGAGAGAGAGAGAGAGAGAGAGAGAGAGAGGAGTGGGGGCGGGGGGCTTGCGAGCGAAGGCACAGATGGTGGGCGGGGATGCAGGGTGCTCACAGCAGGCTTCAGTGGAGATGCATTAACTCCACAGAGGGATGAGGGCTTCCCACCAGTACTGTCATGAATTATAACTGAGTATGGGGATGAGGTCTTAGTGCCCGGCTCACGGCAAATAGACTGTTCTATTTTCCTGCACAATCACCTTTCACCCTTATAAACTCCAAGCACAGCTCAGCATACTGCTGGTATTCGATAGTATCACGGCAGCCTTTTATTTGTCTAGAAGGCACACAAACTCAGCAGCTGTCCCCAGTGCTGTAAGTCAGATAATTATAAAATTAAGTTTTGGCCAAGTGAAAAAGGAAACCTTTTATGGGCGATTCGGGTTTCCGGCGAGAGATGGTCTTCTGCCATCTGAGGGGCCGCATCAAAGCAAAAGGAGGGCACGAAAGAAAGACGCCAGCCTCCCAGACACGCTGGGTACAAGGGAAAAGCCTCCTCTTTGCAAACTTTGCCCTCCTCTTACGGGAAAGCGGTTCCTGCCCAGTGACCTCCCCCATACCCTCCCTCCCTCCCTCCCTCGATGAAGTTATCAATGAAGGAGGCCTGTTATTTTAGGCAGTTTAAAATTTCACCACTTTTAAAGGACTCGTTTACCCTGCCTCTCACTCCCGTTTAAAGCTTCGGAGTTGCTGTTCTAGATGACAGCACCGCGAGCACCGCTTTTAAGCACTATTCATCTCACCCGCCACATCTCAGGCTTTCACAGAACACTGCTCTCTCCCCAATGAGGGGAACTCACTCCTTCACAGCTGCGGGGCAGAGCCTGTTACGAGCTGTAGATTCACTGCAAATATAACAATAAAGGATACAAATGTGAATTCCTCTGAAAATACACTCATGGCTCTGAAACCGCCTGGCCTTAGCAAACTCAGTGAAGAACAACCTATCAATCTTTCTCCAAACGTGCAGCAACAGCTCACTTCATGCGGCTGGCCAAGGGATTGCCACATCGACGGGTTAGAGGATGCTGGAGTGGATTCTTTGCCCATTTCAGGGGATTGAGCGTTGAAGCCCATGACTACCTTCTCTCTAACTGCCACAGCAGGTGGATATGGAAGTGGTGTTTTCCAAGAGTCCGATCGAAGTTTGTAAACACAAAGAGTCTATTCTTGGCATTGTGTCTCTGCTAATGTGAGGAGACTGATCCATGTGTAGAGCAAACATCTAAAACAGGAATACACGGGGGACTTCAACGTGCCTCCCCGGATTGCAGAATGTTCTAGAAATGTGGAGGTCCAGCTCTCGCCCAAGGATCTGCCTGCAAAGGTGCTGAGACAGAGTGCTGTCTTTGCAGGATGACTGTGCCCGCAGTTTCTCGCTCCTAACAGAGCCAGATCTTCCGGTGCTGTGGCAGCAGGCTGTCTTGGTGACACAGGAGCCGGCAGGGCCAGCAGAGCCCAGCCAAAGCGGAATGTGGCAGAGGTGATGAACATTTCCAGGGGGTGGGGGAGGGGAGGGAGTTGCAGCAGTGGCCGCAGTGCTCTTCAGTACACACTAGCTGAATGCTCCATAAGGTCGCACTGATGGCAGTTCGGAGATGGCCATCTGTCGTCAACTCTGGGCCAGACAAAAAAATAATGTAATGGCAGATCGCAAACAACAGGGCTGTTGGAGAAGGGAATGAGTCCTAGAACGGGGAGGTGGTGTTCCATCTCTTAATAGCGAAAACCAGCCATCGATATGAACATTAAGGAATTAATGGATGGAGAATTTTTAAAAACTGAGCTGGGGCGCTGTAGAAATGATTCAATGTAAATAACGTGGTTTTCGCTTAATGCAGATACCTCTGTTGCCCCTCCTTCGGTCCTATTACCCACTTGACTCTTGAAAATGTGACTGGTAGGACACATGGTGAAGCAGTGAGGGCCAAATCTAGAAAAAGGTGAGCCCAGGTTGTGCCCCCAAGCATGCACACACGGATTAGGGATTTATTGGTACAAAACGGGTAATTGAAAACTCATTTACTCATGTAGTCCCAATGAGTTCATTGTGATAATCATGTTTATCTTTCGGTATGCTTGCTTAATTTCTAAGTGCAGTTTTATTAAAAAGCAAAATAAAGCTACCTCATCTTCAGATGCATATGAATGCTATAAAATTTTAAACTCCCTTCTTTGCTCAAGAAAAAGGGCAGCTTTGATAGGTTTTTTACTACTGCTTACATGTTAGGAAGAGAGAAGGTGCAGGGAGGGAGGAAGGAGGGTGAGAGAGAGACTAACAGTCAAACTGAGGTGAGCCGTGCCCTATTTCTTTGTCCTATATGATTAAGTTTCTGCCTTCAGTGGTAAGGCCAATCAATCCCGATTGAATTAGCCAATATTAACAGCTGAAAGTGATCACAAGTAATGGTGAAAACATAGATCCAATCAATAAATCAATGCAAACGATTCGGTTCCCGGAGATCCGATCAAATAAAAGAGATAGATCGATTTAACCACTGAGCAAATTAAGTGGAAGCTGCCGTAGCACCAGTTTACTTCAAAAGCCCCGAAGGCCCACAAAGCAGAGAAATGAGGCGGAGTAGAAGCGGACCAGTTCCAGA